TACCAGTGTATCGTTTCTTTCCTGTGGCCCAGGCTGCCTCCCTGCCTCTCTACCAGTGCCTCGTCTCTTTCCTGTAGACTAGGTTGCATCTCCCTCCTTCTCCACCTGTTTCTCCACTCAGCTCTCCCTCCCAGTCCCACCTTCCTAGACCTCTAAAGGGAGGGAAGAGAGGCAGGTCAGAGGGAAACAGAGAGATGGGGCACAGGGAGAGGGAGGGAGAAGACAGGATAAGAAGGAGGAGGCAGTAAAAGAACAAGGGATCTGGAAGAAAGAGTAGGGGCGTGTGTGGGGGAGGGAGAGATAAAGGGATCAAACGCAGTGGGAGATGCGCATTCCTACCAGAGAACAGAGGGATGAACTCCCTTTGATCCTGCGAGGAGGGATGAGAATATTCATATGACAGCCTCACTGCCCTTTACACCTGGACACCTCCGTCACTCAGCAGAGAGCCACACAGAGAGGAGCTTTTTAGTCCCTCAAATTTCCTTTAATTGAACCTGGCTCATAATCCACAGTGCAGCCACCCAGGCCATCTGTCTGGGTGCCAGCAGGATCGCACTCAGCCTTCAAATTCACATCCAGACTGTTTTACTGAAGTGACACGTTCACAGGTACTGCCAAAGCCCTTACACACAGATAAACACACACAACAACAAGCCTCATTCAGAGTCATGATAATTTTTTTTACAGTAGTAAAAAGTCGAATGAGCAGAATAACATAAATCAAATCAGAGAACAGTGGATTAGGAATAATATAAAAGAAAGAGAACACGGAATAAAGAGAAGGAGAAAATAGGATGAGAGAGGAAAACAAGCAGAGGGGAAGGAAGAGGTAGGAAGTATGGTAGGAGAGGGAACTGGGAAGAATGGAGAGGAAGGAGGACCCTTCCATCACATGAAAATATGTATTTTTACTTCATTTTCTATATTATATACTGCTTATAGATTGTTACCAGTTTTTTCTTGTGGTCAAACATAAAATGTAGATTTAGTGAATGTAGTTTTAATTGTATTTCATTGTTTACAGGTTATTGGTGTTATAGTTTAACAGCACAGTCATTCATTGGCCAATCCAATAAAGCATATATTTTAGCTGAAATGAATTGAAGTGAAAGGGATGAAAGTTATGGATGGGAGGGTACAGAAAAAAGGAGAGAGACAGACACGCACTCATGGAGACTGTCTGCTCCTGTTCTAGAAGCCCCGGCTCAATTCTGACAGCTCATCTGTCTCTCAGACAAAACAACAAGACAACAGCAGAACCGATCGATGGGAGAGTGGGGCTAGGCCACTGCCGTGCTCTTTACCCTGGGCAGCTACTGCTGCAGGGGGGCCCTGGTCATTGCGTCCTTATGTAGCCCTCTGCCATTCTTTCTGCCTGTCTATCCTTCTCTGTACTCTCCTTCAGTCCCCCAATGACGGGTCAAAACTGCCACATGAACTGATTCTCAGACTAAGGTACTGTATGTGTAGCTGTTGTGTATTCCAGTGTGGTGGTGTTCATCTCTCCATCTCTCTCCTGCTCTCTGCTGCATCTGTGTCAGTCTCTCTCCCTCCTCCCCTCCCAATTAAATTCAGTTCAGGGGTGGGTTATTGGCGTGACTCACATTTGCAGTACTGCCAAAGCATAAACAGGCTACAGACATTTTAAACAATGCAAACTTCCCCCTCCTGCTGGAGCTCTGTCTCATTCTCGCTCCTATCCTGTCCCCATCTCCTTCTTTCCTTGCGGTATACTACTGTCAGAAAGGCCATTCTCGTCTTTCAGAAGTTTGGTGATTTGATCTATGTATGGCCTGCCCGATGCAATCTCACCTCCTCCCTCCTCTACAGTCTCCTGTGCTGCAGGCTGGCCAGTGGGACCATGGTCAGACAGGGCAAGCAGAGAGGCACAGAGTGCACAGGAGGCAGAGGAAGAGGCAGAGCGAGACAGGAGTGCCAAGAAGAGAGAAAACAGAGGAGGGTGAAAGAAGTGAGCAAGGTAGAAATAAAGAAAGAAGGGGGGGGAGAAAATGGAGGATGGAGAAAAGATCTGAGGGAAAGAGAGCTACAGAGGGATAGAGACGTCAGGAGGAAGTTAGGAAAAGAGCTGAACCTCTGAAAACATTTAGCTGCAGTGTGGAGTCAGCTCTACTATTTATAAAAAGATTAGGCACAGCAAATTTATATATATATGTGCTTATTCATGTTCATAAACCCATTCCATACGCACACACCTTGGATAGAAACCAGCACCAGGGGCTCAGCACTGCATTGCTGTTCCATATAGGAGAAGCAGCTACACACATTCTGATCCTTATGTAGATTTGTGAGCAATGACAATCCTCAGATTCCAATACGGAGAGTCAGGAAAACACTTCGGAGTGTGCAGTTCTGTCACCTTACTGTGAGTAAATGCATGCGGCCAGCGGTGGCTGTTCAGAAGCTGACTCTCGTGTTGTACCTATTTCTTCAAACCCATGGTCTGAGAGGCACTAAAGCTGGGAGCCAGTCCCTGTCGGCACTGTGCACAGGAGCTGGCCCTATTGATCAAACCAGCTGATCACAATCAATTCAAATGATTTATTCATTGTAAAGCACAACAACAGACAACCATTAACTACAGCTATTACATATGATTTTCAACTTCGGTGTGAAATGCATAAAACAGCTCAAAGTATAAAATAACAATCAGCAGGACTATTAAAGAAAACCAAAACAACTAATTGACCACAAAGAGAAAATCAGTAACCAGCACTATATAGAAAAAAGAATATTTCAGCATTAATGTCCTCTGAGAATGTACTCACAAACAATCATGCATTGCCTGCACAGTTAATGGGGTCACATCCCCTTCATTTTTCCTTTCTCCACATAGCTGTACCTCTCCGCTTTTTCCATCTCTTTCCATACGCCTGTCCTCTTTCTTCTGAGCCTTAATTCCTCTCTCCCATACCATTTCCTTTCTTATAACTCTTCACAAGTCCTGTCCCACTCAGCCTCTCTCCTTCTCCCTGTCCCTGTTCTCCTCTCCTTCCTACCCCCTCTTTTCTTCATCTACCCATCTCTCCTGCCTTCCTGCCATTCTCAGCTGAGCACACTCCTGGGCACTCCTGACCTTGTCCTGGAGGAGACAGCCCATGGAAGTGGCACATGGCACATGGCACATGGCACATGGCACATGGCACAAGTCCAGCACGTGTGAGCTTGCACCCCCCATCCCCATCTTTGCCCGAGAGCACCTACTCACAGACAGGGTATTTCATTGCAATGACTTCTCCGTGGCTCTGGGTTTGTGCAGCCCTGGATCTCAGCAGTCATTCTTCCGAAGAGCCCACAGGAAATATAACTGACAGGGTTACACGTGTGTTAGGGAACTGGATCACAGCAGTGTGCCACATGTGCCAGGCTGCAGGCTCTTGGCCATGCTGACGTGATGAGGCAGAGAAAATATGTATTAGGCTTCATGTTCACTTGTCTACTCTGCTTTCATCAAAATGAGGTAACAAATGGTGGAAATACCCACCTCCAGGTGCTGGGCTATTCAACAGCCTTTCAGCTACCATTACCTGGAGCTGATCAGAGTGCCATGCAGTGGCAGTCTTTTGTTTCCCAGAAGTACTCAAATCTGCGTCTCTCTCTCTCTCTCTCCCCCTTTTTCGCCTCTCATCTTTTCATTCTCTCACCCCTTTCCCTGTATCCCTCTGTTTTCCCTTCACTCTCCCTTGTTTCTCTGGGTCTGTTTCTCCTTGTCATCTCTCACCCTAGTCAGATAATAGGCTTTTGTGGTTTTTTTAGGGCCAAGTTGCATTCCAGTTTTGTGTGAGTGTCCCAGTGGGTGAGGTAGCGTTGTGTGGCTTGTGCTGTGATTGACTCGGCTCTGTGGTGCTTGAGCAGTGATGTTTTGAGGCTGGCTGGTGTTGGTGTGGCTCAGGACCAGCTGGCTGAGAGAGCTCTTCTTAGGGCTCAGCTCTCGGCTCTGCAGGGTCTTCTGGTCAGTGCTCTTGAGGTGTAGCCAGAATCTTATTGCTCTCTTCTTTATGTTGATTAGCAGCGGAAACTGGCCTAATTCTTCCTGTTTGATGTTTTTCTTTGGAAATAAATGTTTTTGCAGAACTCCGTGTATAGGGCTTCTATTCTTTGTGTACTGCTCTCGCGCCCCCCTCCCTCTCCTCCTGTTCCCCTCGTGCCCCATCCTCTGTCAATCTTTCAGATACGCTCTGTTCTGGGACGTGTTCCACTTCTGAAAAACCTGTGATAAAGATCCATTCTTGGCTCTGGTTAATATCTGTAAATAACACATCGGCTTAGAGCAACTGGGCAGCATTTTCAAACCGTTGCTCTCAGTTTGCTTTCATCTTAAACTGGAAGAATTTGAAAATTCAGATTTTTACTAAGATGTTAGTTAATTTTTAAATTGCTGCTCTGTACACTTTGATTTCTGATTCTTGGTTCTGTTGTGGTGAAAACACATTATAAAAGTGATGTGCTCCACTAATGACTGCACCATAACGAAACAGTCAGTCAGCGTTTCTGATAATTCTCTTTTTGAAGAAATATATTTAGAACATGTCATATCAGCACATATGAGCAATTGCTGGTTTAAGACTGATCAGAACAGGAGGCATTTATTTGCACAAAGAGTTCCAGGAGTGTCTGGAAAAAGATTCCCAACCATGTTGTTAAAGCCAGTAAGCTGACTTCTTTCAGGAAAAGGCTGGATGTGATCCTGGGATCAAACAGCCTTAACACACCAAACAGACTAGATGACCTTATGTTCTTATGAATGTCTTCAGAAAGTTAAACCGCTAATCAGAGGGGCATAACGTAGTCTGACATAACTTAAAAGAATATGAATAGGACTGACACACTGCCGACTCGGAGCTAAGCGAGTTGAACAGAGATGCTGAGTCGTCGGGAGCGCTGAGCTGCTGTCCGTGCTGTCAGGGAGAGGTTGAGTGATGCTGACGGCGGCCTGGGGCTGCTGTCCCCGTGTTTCTGCCGCGGTCAGCGCCACGACCGCGCTGACAGCTGTCAGTACCACTGCAGCACCCTCTGAACAGGGGGGCCCGACTCTGCCCCCCTTAAAACCACTGGCTGCAAGAGAACCCACCTCAAGTTCAGAGTGAAGCCGCCCTTCCAGTCTGACCAGTGCTCCTGACTGGAGGAGGAGCTTCTTCACACAAAGGGTGAAGGGTGTAGGAAACATGCCACTCAGCCATGCTGGTGCCGCAAATTCCCTGCGGATCCATCAAGAAAGGGATGGATCCTCCTGTTATCTGTCACCTATCCCCCTCCTTCTGTTTTCAGAAGGCCAGGATGTGAAACGCAGATCCGTCCTCATTCTAGGTACTTGTGTCTTTTCTGCTGTCAAAGGTGGCCGCAAGGCCTGGCCTCTGCAGGAGCGACAGGACAGGGTCTGTCCGGGCGTGAGCTCGGCCTGCTGGCAGCAGGCCCTCCCCTGCCTCCGTTCAGAGGGGGACCCAGGAGGCGCTAGGAGGGGGAGTAAAGTTGCAGAGCTTGTAGTCTTGGGTAACGGTTTCTGCACACGATAGAAAAGTTTCGATTCAGCAGCTGACGGCTGCAAAAAAACTGATTTTCCTTCCCCACGGCTCGTGGTTCATTGCTTTGTCTTCTATTGCTTGTCTCTCCCACGGACTTCGCCGATGTTCCGATATGGCATTTCTTCTCCGGGGGAGCGGAGAGCTGATGGAGCAGTGGGGAGTGGGAACAAGGGGGGCCCGTTTCCCTGCCAATCCTCCCACTGGGGCATCTGGAAACTGGTTTCACCATCTCTTCTGGTCCTGACCTCATATTTCAATTCCCCCTTATAACTAAAATCTACTCTAAGTCTTACATCCAGTCTGCTCTCCAGTTACAGCCTACTCTTCACATCTTTCCCAAGTACGGCATCGATACAGACACATTCATACACAGATACGTGAACGTACACACATACACACCGAAAAATACGATACGAACACACAATATATACAGGACATAAAAAAATACAAATACATACACACACACCTGTCACAGCCGAATAAGTGAACGTCAATCAAAGAAACAACAGTCAATAAAGCTGCAGGGCGCCTCATGAGAGAGAGAGACTCTCTCAGCAGGTCCGAGGCTCCTCGATTCCCTGACTGACCCCCTGTTGCTTCCAGCCTGCACCCCTCTCACCGGATAACTTTAACCCCTTCAGCACTAATACCTGTTGGAGATGCTGGCCCCTGTGGAGGGGGTGTGAGGGCCGCTAATGTGCCCGTTTCAGCCTTTACACTACAGGCTCATTGTCTCCGAGCTAAATGAAGGGCGGTTCTGTGTGTCTGAATTATTTATATGCAGTAAATAGTTAAACGTGATCAATTCAAATAAAGTGATGTTATAACTATACAAGGCACTTGAAAGACCTCAATGAGAATATGTGCTCAATTTCTGTACCCACTACAGTGCTGCTCTGGGATCAGACCAGAGAACAGCAACCAAGCACAGTCCTGGGCTTAAAGCACTGTCCTACACTGACAGCTCAAAGGAACTGAACATCTTTAGTCCCAAAGAGGAAAGAGTATGTGGGAACCTGATCCACGTATTGACAAAAATCAGGAAGGCGGCTCCACAGTTGCAACATCGTGCGTCTTTTCTTTTCAGCACAGAATAAACCTTTACCTGTTCCTTTGCAGCCTACGCAGCTCCCTACTCGAACTTCACTGACAAAATCGACCCACCGCATTTCTACAGATACTGAAACCTCAACCACAGGACACAAGCATAAACTACAGGTAGGTAAGTGCAATTATAACAGAGAACAGAAGACAGTTCTTTACACAAAGGGCGGCTGGAGTGTGGAACAAGATGCCTAACCTTATTATTGAAGCGGATACAATGCCTTCTACATCTGGCTTCTCATTTGTGATGTTTTGTCATATTCATAGGTGCATAGGCAGCTATCTCAGCCTCCCTTGCTCACCTAGGATGCCAAGGAACAAGCAAAGGTTTATTCCCTGCTGAAAGGAGAAGAAAACAACGTTTTGGCAGTGGAGCCTTCTTGGGGTGTGAAGAAGAATGCTTACTGGATCTGGCAGAAATCTGTGCTCATACTTGATATTTTAAACTTCTCTTTTCCTTGTCGTTGAAGGGAGCGATTACAACTGGAGGTGTTACACTGCCAAGCGTCTGGTAACATCACAGTCCTATGAGGAGCGGCTGTGCAGGTCTTTTCACACTGCTGCGTGGGAGGCCAGCGAACAGCAGACTGACAGGAGATAACCGTCACAACTAAAGCAACAGGAGGTACCAGCTTTCCTTTGTGTTCAATTTTTTTATCCATCCGTTCTGTTCAAATGTTTTCCCCCCTTTCCATTTCTAAATCTCCTGCTCTCATCTCTCTCCACTTTCGTTTTCTCCTCCTCCTTCTCTCTATCCACCTTTTCCTGTCTCTTATTCACTTCCTTGGCCTTTCCCTCTCTTTTCTTCTCTTCCCTTCTCCTCTCTGGCCTCTTTGCTCCCATTACCCCTCGACTGCATATCACCCCCCCATCCCTCCTCAGAGCATCTGCCCCACTGATCTATAAAACCTCAGATGATCGATCGAGCGATCGAACAATCAATTAAGATTAAAATGACAGCTGACGCACACCCTACCTCACCAGAGGCATGCTCATCCCAGGCTCAGACGAGCCGTGTGCATATGAGCAGTGTCTCCAGAGGCTGGAGGGGTCAGTGGGTCACGCTGGTGCATCGATCCCTCCTCTCGTTGTCGGGATTTAATTAGTGGGATTGCGTGGTCCCGCCTGGGCTTGTTTAATGGTGTTGCTGTTTGTCATTAACATCACAGCAACCGATCAATGGGATCAAGGCTGTGGGTGGAGGCACAGCGCATTAAAACTCGCCAGACACAGGGGGTGACATCCAGCCTCAATAACTGCACGGAGCTGCAGGCAGAAAGACCAATTTCTAACATTAACTATACACTACTACAGTATAGCCAGACTTTTTAATTTGCTCCTTTCCTACTACATTTCCTTCAACACCAAATACATTTGATACAGATTTCCCTAAATGGATTTAGGATTAAAAACAAAAGCAGTCTTATTCGATAATTTATGCGAATCTCTCGAGCAGCAGCTCAAGGCAGTTGATTGTGGTATGAGCACGCTGGGACAAAGGAGGGTGAGTGCCAAGGGACAGGGCATGAGAGGCGTGCTGGGGCAGTTGAGCTCTGGTGGGGTGGGGTAGCTCAGTAGTGCCACCTGCTGGTTATTTAACATCACTTGCAGCACCACCATGGTCTTCCTCACAGGTCTCCCACCCCCATACTGACCAGGCCCAGCCCGCAGAGCTCCTGAGAGCCAAGCAGGGCCGAGTAGAGGTGATCTGCTCAGACAGAAGCCAGCAGGCCTGTGACAAATGTCTCCGTGTGGTTTGTGATGATCGACAGACAACAATAAAAGACGAGGCACACTAGTAGTTTGGTTAAAACTGGGTACATCTTTACTTAAAAACTGCTTTAAAAACATTGGACACGTTAGTGTCAGTATTGTACAGTGTATAATAACATACTGTGTTCTATAAGCAACAGCAAACTTCACTCTGAAATATATTCTCTCTTTATACAATGCTATGTACTAGTAAACGTACACTAATATCCTTTTTGTTAGTAGTTTCATATAATATATGAGTATTAATAGTACCAGTATAGCTATCTTTACTATAATTATTACTATAACCTTACCTCAAACTCCTCTTTACTGTTTGGAGTATCCAACCCCAAACTAAAGAATCAAAGAAATGAAAATACTTTATTAAGGTTAACACAAGTTAAACTCCTGTCCTCCATGAGTTGGTTAAAACTGTGTGTTGGCGGTGCACACCCTTGCTGGATCAGAAAAGAACGAGAGTCCAGCTCTGCACCAGCACCTGGACGAGAGACTGTCACACCCATGTTCACTTCTCCATCTCTCCTGTCTCCGCCTCTCCTCTCCCCCACCTTCCTCTCTCCCTATCTCTCTCCTTCGCACTCGGGGTTTGACACAGTCTCCCGTCACAGGAACGGCGTCTGCTGCAGAAACACGCCCGGCTACGAGCCACAGACCCCACGGGAAGGCGAAGGACGAAGGCGCACCGCAGCACAGCTATCTCATCGGAGCAGGGGGACTTCTCTATTGCTACTCAGAGGAATATCGTAACAGATACAGAGTCGGAGACTGGCAAGTAGACAAAAGTGTAGTGAAAACAGTCTGGATAAGAAAGACGCGCAGACCCCTGGAAAAGCCCAGCCACCAGCTGCACCGGCATCTGTGTCCACCAGTAGGGGGAGCCATTAAGTAACAAAAACCAGATTGTACCTGCTAACATAAGGAGGGTGCATTGCATAGAACCCCTCCCCCACACTGGTGCAATCTACTGGATTAACCTGGAGCCCCTCACCCCACTTTAAGGTTAGAGTTGCAGGAAACAAGCATTTGACTGGTTTTCAGTCAGGAGGGCATCAGACCAACAGTTTCGGCACAAATAAATGAACATCACTGAGTTAGGAGTGGTTTTTCCTTCTTGTCTCCATTGCTGATTTTTATTTCTGCTGAAATGTTAGCCATTTAGGCTAACAGTATTGCTAGATCTATGATATGTGGTACAGAAATAGGCTTTCAGCTTCATGGATGGGTAGAGGGTGGAGAGGAACCACCCAACCGCTGCTAATGAGCATATCACAGTTCAAGATTCAATGAGATCTAAGAATCCTGTCTCCTGCCAGTCTGGAGAACCTCGCTTGTGTGAGTCACAAGCTTTAGTGTGAACATCACTCCCACAAGTCACCTTGCTGGCCAAATAATCTCCTCTTGCAACTCTACTTACTATCTGCTCATCCCCAGAGGGTGCTCCACCTTAACTACCCCACAGCCCACCCTTTCCCATCGAACCCGGGCCCATGAGCTCACAGGGACCCGTGCCGTCACAGAGGCAGTGTTGTCTTCAATTACAGAGTCATTATCAGCACCAGACAACCTGAGGTATTCCTTCACGACATCGGGGAAAAAGCTACAATAGGTAAAAAAGTAGAAAAGCTTTTAAATCTGAAACAATCTGGATCACAGCCCTAGAGCAGAGAGGGGCTGACACGCTCACAGCGACCAGAGCCGGGAACTCTGCCTCCCCCCCGTACACACTCAGCCTCTGGCTCTGGGGTCCGGCAGCTGGACGCCAGCACCCTGGGAGGGAGAATCGCCACAAAAGCACACAGAGCGCATTACCGTTGGGAAGGTCTGACACTGATCTCATTTACCGAACAGAGGTTCTGTTTGAAGTCCTTGCCTCTGTGATAAATCTGGAAACAATTGCCTCAAACCAGCAGGGAGGCTACAGGCCCCTTATTTCAAAGCGGAATTAATGTTTGTTTTGCACAGATGTCGTGGAAGCACAGTAAGGCCAACCGAAACAGGCAGAGTGCGCAGTCACAGACTGAGTGAACTTCCAGCACCGCAGCTAAACCACTTTCTAATCAGGAGTCAGCTCTGTCCACACTGGACAGTTACATCAGAATTTAATCCAGATGGGGGAGGGGGGGGGGTTTGCATTTATGAATAACGTTTTGCTCATTTCCCCTCTTCAGTGTTTTCTTTCATCAAACCCCAGCATCGGACATGCTCACAGAGTCTTGGACTCTTATTCCTGCCAGAAGAGCAGACTCAAAAAAACTCAGAACAACCCCTCCAACACACACACAAGCATTTTCTAGTACAACCTGTTAACAGTGGGCTCCCGAATGACTAAATTGATTGCTAATCTGTTCACTTAGTTAAATCATGAGTTGAGGGCTTGGTGCGATCTAGTCCTGTACAGTGAGTGGCTGCATGCTCTGCCTGTGGAGGAGCCCTAAGGGAGAATCGGTTTGGAATACTGTCGTCTCCGGCTAATGAAATAAACTGGCGATAGAGTCAACAGTTCTGGAAGGCTGCTCATCCCTCTCTCCCTCTGTAATAAGAATAAAACACTTGTGCTCATTTCCCTCGGTGATATAGTTAGTGTGCCGTGGCATTTCATCCACACGACATGGGCTGCATATACCTATATTCATTTTAATATTTAAAGCATATTTCAGGGCTATATCTACTGTATGGATGTTGCACAATCACTTTGGTCAGGGATACTCAGCTTCTGTATCCACTCCATTCCCTAATTTTAAAACACCCTAGCTCCTTAATTGTGGTCCTGCTGATTATCAGCTAAATACTTAAGGAGATGGTTGTAGCAGACCTGGAATGGAGCAGACTGGAAGGTCTGCAAGTTGAGCTGCCCTGACCTAGCACATACATCAACATCAGTCCTTCAGGGTCAGAATGCAGCAGGCTTTCTAACATTTAAATTATCAACAGCTGCAAACTTTGTAAGTGTAAAATTGGTCCAGTTAAGCTAGAAATGAGCTCAATATGGTCAGGAAGAGTAGAGATGCTGTGGCCCTTCAGGACTGGAGATAAGGACTGTTGCTCTTACCCCAGGAGCTGACCTAAAATTAGGTGTGTTTTAAAACAGGATTGCTCAACATGCTACCCTGCAGGATTCTTGCCCAACAGACAAAACTGACAGTGTTGCCACAGCCATTACAGAGCTGTGCACATTACACTATTGCAAAGGAGCAGACTGAAAGGGCTGAGCAGCACAGGACAAAGATGTTCGGATAAGAGCAGGTTTCAACACCGGTCAAGTACAAACCACACCCGTCCAGACAGTCCATCCTAGGTATTAAAACAGCCTTGTGTGCCTTTGTGAAGATCTCTACAAAAAACATCTTCAGAAACCCACCCTGGGTACAGCTCCCTCGCTCTCTGCAGTGACAGCTCCCCTCTCTACGCACTAAACACATCGCGCACAAATAAACAGGACAACTCCCCACACCCCACACTCCAGAGCGCAGCTCTGCCCCTGCTCAGTCTGAAAGACCTCTGGTGAGCAGGGGGGGGGGTGGAGGGATTTTGCGGCTTCTGAATCACAAAGCGGCTTTGCTTGGAGATCGGAAAAGCTCAGCGAAGAAAGAAAATTCAAATATGTCTTCCTGACGCCTTTATAAATAAACCACCGTCGCACAAAACAAAATACAACACAGGCGCAGACTGCAGAGAAACTCTCCCGAGGTACAGGGAGGACCCAGGTTCGCTTAAGGGATTCCTGGAAACTCTGCCAGTCCTCATAACACCGCCACGGGAGAAACAGAATTTGTCCACAGCTGGGGAAGTTGCCCAGGGAGCTAAATTGGTCCGGACACGGACACGAAAACGTGTGCCCGGGCGCTGCTCCTAAAAACAGGCAACAGGGGCTCCCCCCCCGCCCCTCACCACCACCACGCACGCTTAAGCTACAACAAGCCCCACCCCGTGAACCCCGAGCTGAGCTCTTTCGCACAGACATCCCGAAACCTGGTCAAGAAAAACTAAAAGAGCTCCAGGACTGCGGGAGGCTGAAACAGGGCTCACGAGGGATCTGAGCAGTTAGGTAAGTGAATCGCTGGAAAACCTGAGCTGTTAAAATCGTTATGAAACACTATTACAACTAAGTCAAAAATAATATATATGTATCATATATAGAATATTAGTAATACTACAAGTAAACTATATTTTATGTATCTATATACTGTATATGTCTTGATATATAACTTGTGGAAATTAAAAAAGAAAGAAAGAAACAAGGACCCCAAAGGGTCTATTGAACAACCTGATGGAAATCCCCTGTCGTTGCCTCAAGTTCAGAAACAGGCAGACACACACCAGCAGGAAAAGGCCTGCCCTGCGCTCCTGCTTCCCGACGCTCAGAATCCCAGAAGGCAGTTCCGGCTGCTCCTGCCTTTCCGGCTCCTCCTCTGTCCATGTCCATCTCTGCGAGGAAGAACAAGGAGAGACGCCCTCCCCCTCCACTGCAGGAGCAAGCTCAGGAATGGGGTACAGGGTGAAAAGGGGTCACCCTCTCCCAGGCCGCCCCACAGTAAAGAAGTCTCCTTCCTTTGGGGTCCCGAGCCAGACCTAACCAGGGGTTCGGGTGCCGGTCCGAAACGCCTCTCTGTTCCGCATCCTGCTCCAGGTGCACACAGCCAGGCCACAAAAACCGCCCGGCGCCATCGCGACCGCCTCACGGATCTGAAAGAGTTGCCCGCCCCTCTCGTCCGCGGGCTCACAAGATGTCGTCGTAGTCGAGCAGCTTGGAGTGCTGCCGTGTCTTCCACAGACGGTACAGGCGGAAATCAAAATAGGTTTCGATCATCTCCTTACCTGGGACAGAGGAAGGGGGAGAGGGTTAGGAATCAGAGACAGGAGGGAAAGGACCGGACTCGGAGACAGAGGGAGGGATGGTTAGGAATTGGAAACAGGACAGAAGGAGATTCAGGAGGACGAATGTCAATATAGGAGAGGTAAGGAAGGAAGTGACAGTTTGGGAAGGAGGGAGAGAGGACACACGCACAGTGCATTGAGCTGTAAAACCTGACCGTCACGGCAGCGCTTCTACAGACTGACACTGAAATGTTTATCATCAGAGGGGGTGTCACACTGCCCACACTGCTTCCGACTCTACACTATCCAGCAAAGGAGGACGAGTTCCAGTCCAATCATGGTCAACTGCCTTTGTCTCCAGAGCCCAAGGAAGGACAGCTCTGCACCAACTCGCACCCAGACCACACGCTGTCGAGCACCACTGCAGCAGGCGAAGGGTTAAAGAGTGCTGGGGGTCACGAAGAACTGTGCGTTTTCTTTGTAAATCTGTTGCCAGCGCTTTGCCTGTCTCTGCGGGATTAATACAGCTCAGGGTCTGCGTCACCCCCACCCCCACCCGAGGCACACTTCTGTCCTGGGAGTCTCGTCATCTGTGTGAGCACGTCGGCCCTCGCCGTCACCGCGCTCTGCCAGATTAACACCAGCTGGAAAATTCCAACGTGCCAGCAAGTGAAGAAGTGAGGGAGAGCGAGCAAGGGGCTGGTCTCTGTGCACTCTGTGAGCGGCCTCCCTGAACGGGCTGCAGCTCTAACGAGTTTTTAATTGAGCGATAATTGCCTGCACGTCAGCAATATCCTTGGGGGCTCAATTCAGCAGGGCTCAGCTCTCTTTGTGGAGCTAAATGTTTGTGTGGGCCTGCGTTTCTGTGCGGCCCTCTCTCTCAAACCAGGCTCTACCGAGGGTGAATCTCAAAATGATTTTGTCCACGCTTTTCTTAAAAAAAACAATGTTAACTTTATGAAGCTATATCTTTAAACTTTTAAGAAATAAAGATAAGGCCATCTGCTGCCTTTAAAAAGATCTTTTACAGATCTTGTCAGCAACAGTGCTCACTTTGTATTACAAGTTCACCTTGGAGAGGCAGCTTTCTCGCACACAGTGCCCAGGGGAAGGGCTGCCAGCCTCAGCCAAATTCAAGCCACTGCCCGGCTCTTATCCAAACAGCACTGTAATGACTGAAGTGGCAATTATTTAATTGGTCATTAATTATACAATTAATTGCTCGATTTGCCAATAATTGCTTAATTGACTCTGCTGCTGAAGATCACTCAGTCACTGAATGAAGGCCTGCGACGCCCTGCAGTGGAAGCTGTGGTCTGGGCCGCGCGCCTGGTCTCACCTTGTGCCGACAGCTCCAGGGGCGACTCGAACGTGATGGACTGGGGCTTCATCAGGTTCTTCAGATTCTGGAACAGCTGCGGCGCCGAGCAGTAATCGATAAAAAGAAGGTCATCAATTAGACGGATAGCACGGCGCACATTTCAGTGGAGGATGAGACACGGGCGTGCATTGCCACCACCAGGCACTGCAGGCGAGCAGTGAGCAGCAGGCGAGGCGAGGCGGGCAGGCTTGGTACAGAGAAGGGTTCACCCAGGAGTCAGAAACTTCCCCCAGTGCCCAATGTGGACCGCATCCGGCGGTCAATATGGGCCCCACAGTGGTGCTGAAGAGCCCAGTGGAGGCCCGCGAGACGAGTGGTTTACGACGAGGAGCGTCAAGGACAGCCTGCCATTGACCGAGGAGACAGCACGCGCATGGCTGAGCATCGCCACTATAAATAGCCCCATTACATAAGCTCTGCTCAGGCTCAAGTAATAAAAGCTCACAGGTTGCGGGGAGACAAATTTTCTTAAGTGCTCTGCACCACTTCCCTGCAGCAGCCTTCTTTTGGCTGCATGCCCTCTGGCCACTTTATTAGGAACGTTTTCCATAAAGCCGTGTGCACACTATCAGACAGCGGCAGTAGGAGCGCCACACTGAACTGCCACAAAGCATTTAATGCGAGCTGATTAACGATCAGAGGAAAGAGGGAGGGGCTGCTGGAGCCAGTGCAGTATCGTGTGAGAAACAGTTTACTGGGAACGGTGACTGCCCTGTTCGAGCAAGTCAGAACTGTTCGAATGGAAATGAAATTTCGGTCACATACAAACGGAACCACAGAGACCACATACCCATGGACAACGACAGCAAGCTCCCAGTCTCCAAGGGGAATACTGCACTGGCGCATCGTGACCACCATGCATGGCCATAATGGCTCACACGTGTCTCCTGGTGGACACCAGCTCCCTCTGGTGACAGCGGTCATTGTCCGTGGAACCATGTTGGCCCAGGCTGCATGCAGACCCCATGTCACCCTTCCTTGGTGCCCAGTGGTCACTGGAGATGTGTACGGAGCAGCCAGCCCTACCTTCTCTCCGTTAGGATTGCCCAACACGTAGCAGCCCATCACGTGGATGACATTGGGCTCGGGGTTCAGCTTGGTCATCAGTCGGCTCAGCCGCTTCCAGAAGCTGAAGAGTGGACAGAGCGGACAGGGAGAGCGGTCATGGTTAGCAGCTGTGCAGCTCGGCCACTGACCGCATCAGCTGGGCCAGGCCGCGTAAATCAGGAGCAGGCGATCTCCCCTTCTTCTTGACAAATCATGCGTCAGGTGCCTCATAAAACCTGTTCACATGCTTCGCCAACTACAGCGACTCGCCCCATACGTCTCCATTTCAGCGTGATCGAGGCCACAGTCAGCCAGGCTCAGACACAGGTAGAACTGCGCTGCCCCCTGTCTCCCTCTGCCAAGTGCAATATGGTTTATTCATAACTGTTTCCATGTGTTCAGCCCAAATTCTCCGACTGGGAATGATCTACCAGGGGGTGCCTATGTCTGTTACATGGGATCTGGAATCCAGCTAATTCCAGCTGAAACCACCTTTAAATTAAAAAGCAAAATCAGACTAGTAGTTGACTGTGCTAGTTGTAGTTGTACTACTGTGTACTGGGGGACTCACAGTATCATGTCCTCTTCTTTCTCCACCTTGGCAAAGGTGGCCACTTTGTTCTTCAGCAGGTACAGGTGACCAGGACCTCCCTGTATGACAGACATCAGACAGGTCAACCCGCAGAGCTGATAAATTCTTCATCACATCCATGTGTCTTCCAGCCTCTCTGTTAACTCCATCTCTCTTACCTGGCAGAAGATCAGCATTCTCCAGATCTTACAGCCCCTCCTGTAGGCATTGAGCTTCTTCTCTATCTCCTCTGCAGGAGGAAGTAAGAGACATACTGCAATGTCTGTTTGTCAACAGTATTGTATAGAGTATACACAGCAATCATACGAAAGACCTCCCACGTGCACACAGAGTTGGACGTACCAAGAATGTCATCAAAGGTCGCATGTTCGTGATCCTGCGCGGAGAAAGAGAGAGTTTAGATGGGAAGAACTGAACAACAGCGTTCTGCAATACTGTGGAGTAGCATGCACAGTATTGTGCAGAATTACACACAATACTGCAGTAGTGCACACAATATTGTGCCGCAGCGTTTGCTGTATTTTGCAGTATGTGCGATGTGTAGCGATGTGTGCAGTATTAGCAATGTGTGCAGTTTGTGTAGCAGTGTGAGTGACTCACGTAGAGAATGGGGATGATGGAGTGGTCGTCTCTCCGGATGATGTTGGGCACGTACTCTGCCTTGGGAACTTTGGAGGAGATGAGCTGAGGCGGAGAGAGGAAGGCATTAACACAGACACACTGGCATGCTCACCAGACCCTGCAGTATCTAACCAAAACACTAAGAGACAGAACTACAGAAAGACAGAGAGCGTGGGGTTCGACTGGGTCTTCCTTGCTCACCATGATCTTGGGAGGGATGAAGTCTTCGCCCTGGCAGGCCAGCCTCTCCTCCTCCCTCTCCTCCTCCCAGATCTGGTCAGCACTGCCCTCGTCCAGGGTGCCACAGGACTCCTGCAGGTCTCCGCCTGAGGACAGGGGAGGGGGGGCAGGATTGGGAAATGGGAGCAGGGGCAATAAAGTGTGAAAACATGACCAGGGCCATTATAACAGATTAAGAGTCTGAAAACCGTAGAGATTCGGAAATACCGAAAAAGACAGGCACTGGACACAGCGACACACACTCACAGCAGCACAACTCTACATACAGAGAAATCAGACACACAACCGCACAGACAAACTCACTGTGAAAGACACACCCACATACACCTGTGCACATTGAGGAGATGACAGTGAAATACACAACCACACAGACACGGATAAGCTGCACGTACAGACAGACAGACAGGAGTGGCAGCGGCGTGTGCGGAGATTGGCACGCTGCGTGGGACTCACTGTCGCGGGAGTCGTGCAGGGGGTCGGTCTTGATGGGGGTGGGGTCACTCCAGGACCGGCTGAAGCTCTTCTCCCGGCGATCAGCGAAGGCTGGCGGAGGAGGATGTGGGAGGGGATGGAGAGAGGGTCACACTCAGACACGCTGCGGTCCGGCCTGCGCCGGCACAGAGCTCCGGACACAACGCACACCCTCACAACAGCTCCCTTTAGCGTCTTCGCTGAATGTGTCCCAGCCTGGCTGGAGTTCTGAGGAGATTCCAACTGGGAGGTCCAGTTCTGTTCGGCCCCAAGTCATGCACAAGAGCTGGACTGGTGCTACAGATCATGGACAATGAGGAAATTAAATATCCCTTAATTAAAAGAGCTGGAACTCCTGAAACTGAGGACTGAGGAACGGAGGTCCGCGTTTCTAGCTGGCTCGTGTCAAATGTGAAAATGCAAGAGTGCATCCAAAGACAGAGGGATGGGCGTGTCTGAAGAGCCCAGAGAGTGAGATCGTGCCAACAACTCACTCTCGGCTGGTGCTCGCGAGTGAGTGAGCGTGGAGGAAGGGGGTGACCAGCGCAAAAGGGACAACATTCAGCCGAATATTTAAAGGGAAGGAAGTGAAACAGCCCACTCCAGCACACACCCCCAGTCTGCGGATGGTAATGTTCCCAATCACCCATCAGTTACCAGCACACAGGTACTGTACACACCCAGAACTACACACATGTGGCGCACACACACACACATTGTTCTGTACGTACACCGTAATAACAGCACACACATACACTACACAACAATGTACACAACGCAATACAGACACCGCTTATTACTACACTACACAGGTGCACTAGTTACAGGGCATGCACAGAGCCACAGACACTCAGAGACTCACTCTGAGCCCTCATCCGCCGGCTGCCCACCATCCGGAGGTGCTTGCGGAAGTTTCTGCGGAGAGGAGAGAGGGGCAGGGGCAGGGGACAGTTGGACAGGTGATGTGAAGAGAGAGGAGGAGGGTTGGACAGGAGATGTGAAGAGAGAGGCGGGGAGGTAGGGAGGAGAGGTGGGAGAGGGAATCGGGGGAGGTGGAGAAGGACAGAGAGCGTGAGGGAGAGACAGAGCAAGAGAGTCAGGAACGAGCTCAGAGCAGCTCCACACCGCCTGCTGGGGAGTGTTTGAAGTTACAGGAGGACGTGCACTCTCGAACCTGTGCGTTCACAGGAACAGATCTGGCACAAGCAGGCTGGAGATATTATACCAGCGTTACAGGAGCACAGACGTCTCGCCCTGCTTCTACCTGCAGGGGGAGCCACTGGGCCCCAGGCTGCCTTTCTCACGTCACACAAAGAACCATCCATTCACGCCTGTGAAATCCAGAGAGGATGTAACTTATTAAATTTAAAACATACTTTTACATTTTCAAAGGAAAAACAGAGGAGCGGTTTTTCACTCCCCGCTGCCCAAGCAAGCTGTACTCACAGCTGTCAGACAGACGGGAAGAGTTCATCTGTAGACACACTGCCAGTGCTCAAGCCTTGTGGGCAGGGTAACTGAGGACACGGTCAATCCTGTTCTTTCAATGTGGTTCCTATTCTGCTTTTTCAATTAGATTACAAGTCTTTTATTTCTCTCTAAATATTCATTCCTCGACCTCTCTGGCTCTCTCTCTCTCTCCTCCTCCTCTTTCTCCTTCTCTCTCTGCTTGAGACCTGCACAGCTGGAGCGCCTGCATCCTGTAACCATGGAGACCGTGCATCTATGATCAAACATCTGGAAGGCAGGGAGAGAGGATGCGGCCCAGTTTACCTCTGTGGAGAGGAGGAAACTGCCGGAGGGAGAGGAGAGAGGTGTATTTAACTGTTGATGAAAATAAGCGGCGCTGTTGTGTTGCTCCCGGAAGACTATGTTCCTGTACTCAATGTTTAAAGGCACGGAAGTCGAGAGGCATCGGGGCAACAGAGGAGAAGGGGCTCCTAACGGACCAGAGCAGGATATGTCAGAACTGAGCGCCTGAGCAAAGGTGGTGATTTAAAACACAAATTACGGCCACAGAGAGGGGGGGCCACAGCTGGCGAGGACACACAGGACACAGGACAGGTGTGACACGGTACCTCTGGATCACAGCTGCCGACTCGTGTTCCCTTTTCCGCCTCTTTCTCTCAGCAAAGCCCCGGAACGCCCTGCTGAGACGTCACAGTGTTAATCAGGGACCCTGGGCCCCCCCCCCACCGCGCACAGCACACCCCCCGGGCCAGCATGGGAGAAGCCCCACGGGGGGGGGCGGGCGGGGCGCAGGCTATGCGCCGACGCCGTGCCGAGATCCGCCGGGGGGCACCGCCGCTCCCACTGTGACGGGGGGGCGGCCACCACACACATGCCAGCGCGGGGCAGCAGCTGGAGGAGGTGCGAAACCACACAGGCGGCTCCGCTGCAGACGCGCGACACGAACGCTGGCAAGCACAGGGCTGCGTCCTGCTCTCTCCGTGTTCAGGACCAGGGACGGCGCCCGAGCCCGGACCCTGACAGGGGGCGCTGTGCCCTGCTCTGTCCTGGTGCAGAGCTCGCCCTCCGTTCCTATTCCCACCTGCACCCTTTCCAGTTTATTTCCGCACTCGCCAGTCTCGCTCCCACCTGCTCTCCAGCAGCTCCCACCGTACACTAACACACGATGGGGGCAGCGAGTCATCTAGCCCTGGCGAACCTGCTGAGCACCCGGAGCCTTGTCTCCTGTACACACTGTGCGCCAGGTTCACATATGCGATAGAGGGCACGGACAGACTACACCTGAAGAAGGCTCCACAGCCCAAACGCCGTGTTTCTTCTCTTTTCAGCAGGGAATAAACCTTCACTTGTTCCATAGACAGACAATACCTTGTTTGTTAATACACTGTATACTTCACAAAGGACACCTGCCTCAGGTATACAGTCAACACTGTGCTGCTTGTGTACACAGACGGCACTGCAAAGCGTGTTCTTTGTGTGCGTGCTGTATACTCAGTGCACATGGTGTGTAAATGAGTCATTTCATAAAACTGCATAGCTGTCCTCCATAACTTCAAACACTCCTCAGAAGGTGACTGTAATGGGGACCACAAGGTCTCTATAGTGCAAACACACACACACCACAGGGTCTCTATAGTGCAAACACACACACACACACACACACACACACACACACACACACACACACCACAGGGTCTCCACTGTACAACGACACCACAGGGCTTCCATAGTGCCAAGAACACTTAAGGAACACTTACGAGATCCTGCAAATCCGCAGGGACACAGGGGTGAAAGGAGGGACAGCGTGAAAGAAAGACAAGCAGGTGTTAGAAAAACTGTTCAGATCCCTTCATTCTCCCTCCTACGACAAACAGGAGGCGAGACCTGCGCTCTCAGATGAATAGCTTGGAACGCCCATTACACTTTTGGGGAATAAAAGATGCATCAACCTTCTATTCATTCTTGGAGTGACTATTATTTCTGCCCTGCAGACAGCGGAGCCCTGTCCTGTATGGTCTGCAGCTGGTTCTCGAGAGAAGCCAGGGTATCGGCTTCAACAGCAAGACTGGGCAGCTCGTGCCAGACTCCAGCCAACCGGGAATGGGCTCCTGTTCCCGGCCGTGCGTCTGGCTTGTCCACTGCCACTCCGTGCAGAACCAGTGCAGGCAGATTTCACTGGACTTCCAAATGGGTTACAGCACAGAGCAAAGACCCCCAGGCAGTGGGAGAACAGGACAGATCAACGCGGGACCAAAGGAATACCGGACCCAGTCTTTACGAACAAGCACCAACCAAAAAGACCTGCTGCAGGATAGCTGCCAATTGACTTAGACAAGGAAATGCTGCTCTTAGATTACACAGCTGCTCTGGTAGCTCCAGAAGGCAGATAGAGGCTCGGACTGCTGAGCCACCCCCTCCCCCGAGTCTGAGTGCACCCCTGGGTGGGCTGTACTCACGCCTGCATGGTGGTTGTGGCCGTCTGGAAGCTGAACATGTTCTCCTTGGGGAACCAGCTGTGGATGGGCACGTCCTCTGCGGCGGGGAGGGAGAGACCGAGGCGTCAGGGACCAGACCGACACGGCACGGTGGAGAGACGGCGAGAGATTAAGGAAAGGACTTTCTTTCTGCGGTAAACAGGGGTTTTAACGATCTTAAAAAAACAGGGTGTCGCAGACAGGAGTCCTTGTGTGGCTGTCTGGGAACGCTGGGCTCTGGACTCCAGCGAAGGCTTCGAACTCACGCCCCCCCCGCGCCCGAGAGGTGACCGCCGACGGCCCCTCCCTCCACTCACCGGACACCCGGTCCACGCTGTACATCCTCTCCAGCTTCTTGCGCTGGCGGGCGCTCTCCAGGTCCAGGGAGTGCTGGGCGCCGACGGGAGCCGGGTGGGAGCCGGCGCAGTCCTGCGGGCAGTCCCTGGAGCCCGGCCGGCTGCCCGCCCCC